AGACTGCCTGTAGTATATATGTGTACATATGATACCACTGTTTATCCAAGCACAATTCTCTTCTAATTTCACATGCCTCCTTGATGGGAATCCAGTTCTGGTGAGAATAAAATATGCTTGGTCATTCAGAGACTTCCATTTGAGAAGAGATCTCTTTTTCTGTCCCATTTGAAAATATTGTTTTCCTTCAGCACTTGAGAAGAGATGTCTTTTTCTATTCCATTTGAAAATATTGTTTTCCTTCAGCACAGCATGCCCATTGCCTGTTACTGCTTTCCTTCTGCAACTCGCAACGTAATCTGTGTGATTCTGTACTGTCTGACAATGGAGACATTTTGTTTCATGAAATAACTTCTCTGCAGACATGAAGAGGATGAATGCCTAACGCAAACAAGAACATCCTATGAAACTCAAATGGAAACATTCGTTGGTTGTGGGCATGTGCCACCTACTGCTTCCCTTCCACTTATTGCTGTTGCCTTTCCCTTTGAACTATTGGTTACATTTCAGGTTTTTCCTCTGAATTAAAAATTAGAACAAGTTAGAATGAAAACAAAGAACAAAAGGAGACGTGGTCTCTAATTGTAAGTGTTAAGGCCCATGAGAAGACTGAAGGCCCGCTGAAGGGTCTATTCCCATTCACTGTAGTCAACCGTAGAAAAGCGAAACATGTTTAAACCAATCTTTAAAACAAGGTTCCTCGTTCCAGGAGTGTCCCTAGGAATGCTCCACTCTGGGTATACTGGCGTGCGTGTAGTGCTGATCAGAGAGCTTCAGGATCAGTGTCCATTTCGCCCACCCCTGCACTGGGACAAGGCTAATCAGCACATGCATGCTAGCCTCCCAAGCCCATTTATACTAACCTAGACCTGGTGACAATGAAATATGTTTGTTCATTTAGATGCTTGCTTTTGTGGACAGATCTCTTTTTCTATTCCACTTTGAAAATACCAGTTTCCTCCAGCAGGGGATGCCCATAGACTTGAATGACTCCTTGAGCTCATAGCTAGAACGTTTAGTAAGACTTTGGGAGTAGGTGACTTAAGGTAGAAGATGCTTCCCCATAAGTAATTATGGTGCTGATAACAAAGGTCCTATGAAACTCAAATGGAAATGTTCCTTGTTCATGGGTCTGTGTCACCTATTGTAGCCCTTCCACTTATTGCTATTGACCTTCACGATGAACTATTGGTTAGATTTCAGGTTTTTCCTTGCAACACAAAGTAAAGCAAAGTAGACTGAAAACAAAGAACAAGAAACTGGTCTTTAATTGCAACCCTCAGTTTTATGGCCCCTCAGGAGACCGAATAATTACTAACCTAGACGTGGAATATGTTTGTTCATTTTGAGGCTTGCTTTTGTGGACAGATCTCTTTTTCTCTTCCACTTTGAAAATACCAGTTGTCTCCAGCAGGGGATGCCCATAGACTTGAATGACTCCTTGAGCTCATAGCTAGAACGTTTAGTAAGACTTTGGGAGTAGGTGACTTAAGGTAGAAGATGTTTCCCCATAAGTAATTATGGTGCTGATAACAAAGGTCCTATGAAACTCAAATGGAAATGTTCCTTGTTCATGGGTCTGTGTCACCTATTGTAGCCCTTCCACTTATTGCTATTGACCTTCACGATGAACTATTGGTTAGATTTCAGGTTTTTCCTTGCAACACAAAGTAAAGCAAAGTAGACTGAAAACAAAGAACAAGAAACTGGTCTTTAATTGCAACCCTCAGTTTTATGGCCCCTCAGGAGACCGAACTGAAGGGCCACTGAAGGGTTTATTCCCATTCACTATTGCAAACCAGAGAAAAGCAAAGAAACATTAAAACAATAATTTAACACAAGGTTCCGTGTTTGAGTAGTGTCCCTATGAGTGATCCACTGTAGGTGTGCTGGGTTGGGTATCCCTTCACTGCTGATTGGAGAACTTCGGGAGCAGTGTCTGTTGGGCCCACAACTGTGCTGTCTCTACTTCTGTCACTCCACAAAGGCCAATCAGCACAGCTGCACTCACCCCGTATTAGTGCCTTTTCACTTTCACGTTTCTGCTTATGCGAATCCAGTCCTGGAGACAATAAACCTGCATGGCCACTGAGAGACTTTTGCTTCTGGACACAGCTCTTTTTCAATTCCACTTTGAGTATATCATTTTCTTCCAGCACAAAATATCCATAGAGCTGAATGAATTCCCAAGCTCATGGCTAGAATGTTTAGCAACTCTATACCACGGAGTGACCTTTCTGTGGTTGCTTCTTGCTACTTTCCTACTGCATCTAGCAATGTAATCTGATGGTGGAGTCCTTTTGGTTGATGAAATAACTTCTCCTCTGCAGACGTGAAGAGGATGAACCCCTAGTCTATCTGAGAGACTCCTATGAAACTCAAATGGAGACGTTCTGTGTTCATAGGTACGTGTCCCTTACTACAGCCCTTACATTTATTGCTGTTGCCCTTTACCATAAACTACTGGTTACATTTCAGAATTTTCCTTTGAAAAGGAAAAAGTAGATTGAAAACAAGGCGAACTGGTCTTCAATTGCAACCTTTATTATTAAGTCCCCACAGGAGAGAGTCCTAAAGGGCCACTGAAGGGTCTATTTCCAGTCACTGTAGCAAACCGTGGAAAAGAAAAACAAGATTAAAATCAATGATTTAAAACAAGGTTTCTTGTTTGAGTCGTGTCCTGTGAATGCTCCACTGTACTGCTGATGGGAGAACTTCAGTGTCCATTTGGCTCGCCCCCGTTCTGTATCTATTCGTGCCTCAGCACAAGGCTAATCGGCATGTGTGTGCTAGCCTCCCAAGTCTATTTATACAAATCTAGTCCGGGTGACAATGGAATATGGTTGTTCATTTAGAGGCTTCCATGTGTGGACAGATCACTTTTGCTATTCAATTTTGAAAATATCATTTTCCTACAACACAGACTGTCCGGACTTGAGTGAAACCTGAAGCTCACGGCTAGAATGTTTAGTAAGACTTTGGCAGTAGGTAACATAAAGTAGAAGATGCTGCCACATAAATAATTATAGTGCTGATAAGGCAGCTAATATTATTTGCTGGAATACTTCCGAGTTGCCATATGGATAGTGGCTTGTCTAAATCTTCTAATTTTTTATATGCCTACATCTTAATAAATTATTTTTTTGAAAAACCACTCCCAACTCTGTTGTACATGTCTCCTATCACAGCTGTGTACAATAAATGTTATAAAATATAAGATGGGATAGTTATAGGAGATTAAATTTAGCTCTCATTCTATATGTCTTGAGAAACCAAATTTTGAAATGTTTTTTGCATAAATAGCATTTCTAAATGGCTTTCTGCTTTTTAATATCACAGGCGTCATTGTATCACAGGGCAAAATTATCTCAGGCTCTGCAACCTTCAGAAAACCAGTAGGCACAAATATATATTTTATGCAAGAATATCTCCTCTGATAGCAAATGTGGAACAGCCCCAAAGCTATTGTCTTCCTAGAACAAAGGGTGGCAGAATTTCCCTGTGTCCAGAAATCTCTTTGCATCAGTGAGTCTGTCTCCCAAAAACTAACTCAGAAAAGAAATGCAAAGAGACCACCAGTTACAGAACATTGGGATTAGCCAGTCTCAACAACACCCATTAAAAATGACGAGCAGAAGAAGAATGGAAGATGACCCTCGTAGCAAAATACTAATAACAGGAAAGATGCTCTCTCCTCTTCTGCGGGCCCCTAATTAGGGAGTGGCGGGGCAGACATTTATTCTCCCTGCCTTAGGTACAGATGTATTTTTCTTTCTTCCCACTTCTACTGTGCATTGTCCATGGAGTCATTGTACTGAATGTCTATGGCCGTGAAGCCTGAATGGGGAAATAGCCCCTAACAAGCAGAGATTGGCTGTCTGCCTGGTGATAGGGCGCCCTTTACTTGAACTCTGATTCTGAAGAAAATCACTGTTCTGCACAGAGTGGGTGTGGCGTATTTACTGGTTTTTACAGGCTTAATCACCTGCCTTGAGCCCTTAAATATCAACACTTCATTTCCAAGAACAAGTGTACTTCTGTGGAGAACTGATACTCCAGTGGATAGAGCTCAGGCTTTTAAGATATGCCTGGCTTAACGTCAAAAATAAGTAACCAGTTCAAACTCACTTTGACTTATCATGGATTGTGTTATCATAGAAAGTTGATTGTATTCTGCATGTTTATCTTTTTATTATTCTTTAAAGAAGTTATTAAAGTTAGTATTTTTTCCATGTACAGCCCACACCAGAAAAAATGTGCTTTTTCTTAACTTGTCATAATTTTATTAGCCTATGTGTACACTAGGAAAGTATTTTGTAATTACTAAATTTGACTTAATAACTCCCAATTTAGCATATTCAAACTAGCATGCCCACACTACAGAGAGGCGTCAAAATTATTTAATGTGAATGCACTACCTTGGACTTAGAACTCCAGGAAGTACTGGGGAATAATTAATTCAAATTACTCTGGAGAGTAATTATTTCAAAATAGTAGCACCAGAGCATCCACGTTACTGTTATTTCGGAAATAAGTATTTTGGAGATAGCATTGCTCCTCTTGAAAAGCAGGAGTACAGATTTCTAATTCCATGTCCCATTATTTTGAAATAACAGGCTTGGTAGGCTGTGTCTACACAACAGCGCTATTACAGAATAATGTCAGTTATTCCGAAATAATGTAGTGTGCCTCTAGTGAAAGCCAGTTATTTGAAATAAGATTGGTTGTTTAGAGACATTCATTTGTGGTCAGACCTCTTTTTCTATTCCATTTTGAAAATATATTCTTTCAGCACAATAGCCACGTGGACTTGAATGTGTCCCTGAGCTCATGGCTAGAGTGTTTAGCAACACTATGGCAGTAAGTGACTTTTCTGTGATTGCTTGTTGCTGCTTTCCTTCTGCAACTTGCAACGTGATCTCTTTGATTCTGTACTGTCTGTCAATGGAGTGCTTTAGTCTGATTATATAACTTCTC